CCTCGAGAGACAAGGCCCGGTACCGAGCAACAAGCGACCGACTGAGGCCAGGGGCCCTCCGTCCTCACGGGATTCCCTGAAGGAGCCGTGCCCAGGGGAAGCGCCAGCTGCGAGGCCGGGTGGCTTCGCAGAAGTTGACGATGGAAAGGCCTGCGCCAGCAGGTAAGCCGCGAGGATGCCGATGCACCGCGACGCTGCAAGAGCTACAGAAACAGAGTCACCGTGCTGCACCACGCTTATGATGGATAATTAGGAATACGCAGTAGAAGATAATCGGACGATTCCTATCGCACCCGTGTAGCGCAGGGTATAAAACCCCTCAAGAAAATCCCCTTGGGCGTGCGCAGCTCGGCTGGGACGCCTCACGCGCGTGAAGGAGTTATTTACCTTGGCAATTCCATACGCTGCGTCCTCGCCTCTCTCCTGGGTTGGCAGGGGCCAGTTACGAACGCCGTGACGCCGGGCAGCAGCCTCTTCCCCGGACGCAGCCTCCCTCACTGAATTCAAGTTTGCGCATGTCAGGCACACAGTGCCATTAGGTGGGTTTGTCTGGCAAAGCCCACCCTCGTCGACAGCTCTCAGGCCATGTTTTGAACGTGAATCAGAAGCCGTACAGATAGCAAAACAGCATTTATTAAAGGCATAGGGGAAAAGAGCTCTTACGTCAGGTATATAAAAAGTGAAACAATTCACAGGACATTTAACTATGCCCACAGTACGTTTGAACAGGACATTTCTGCCTCCTCCTAGAATTTAAAACAAGAAACAATGAAAATACCTTTTTATCACCGTACACAACTGCAACTAGAGGTGTCTACAAACACATAGCATCTCCAAAGCGTTTTGTTTTGGGTTTTTTTTAACGTATGCTGCAGTAATACAGTAACGACTAAGTCACTGGAAGTCTTGCTGGATGTTCTCCTTGTTTGCTTCCCCATGCTGCTGTTTGATTTGTGAAATTTCATTTTCCAGCTGCACAATAGTTCGTTCAATCTCATAATTTTTACTGACAAGAGAGACCCATCTGGAAGGGAGAAGAAATAAAAAAGTCTTCAAGTGTTATTTAACAGTGCTCTGTTTTAAAATCAATTATTGCTCCAAAGAAAGCACAAAGACACCAAATAAAGCGGTATTTTTCTCAGTACATGATAAACCTCCATTGATAGCAATGGAAATTTGAACAACCAAAGTGATACAAAGTAGTTTTTAACCCTGTTAAACCTTAACATAGAAAATTTAATTTACTAGACTCAACTCCATTAACTGCCAATATTTAGATAAATAAGAGTTTAAGAAACAATTTAGACAGGCCATTTCAAGCAGCCAATATGCCCTCCCTTTCACATCTGTTGCTCGCTGATTCACTCACCCACAGTAACTATTATGTAGACCTGAATTACAAATCCTTTAAAACACTTTGTGCAAAGCAACGGTATTCGTGCGATACCATCCTACAATAGTACTGAAAGATCGCTGATGCTCTGCGCGGAAGAATTTCAAGCAAAAGACATACTTGTGGAAGATTTAACAGAAAAATCCTCGATACTCACGTAGATTCCATTTCTCTTAGCTTAGCCCCAGCTGTGAGCTGCATGTTCTTTCGTTGCCAGTTCAGATCTTGAATGTTTTTCCTGGGGAGAAAAAGAGCTTTGTCTTTTTTTTTGTCATCTCTTTTCTTTAAAATTTGTAATATCTGCTGCTAATTTCGAAATACACCTAATCCCTAGAAGTACTACCAGAAAACACTTGCGTAGCCAGGACCGAACTGAAAAATACAGAGGGACAAATCCCAGTACAGGGTTGCACACGGAACCCTGAGATAAATAAAAACAAAAAAACCAAACAAAACCCCCAAAACAACAAAAAACTTCCACTCTACTACAAGCAAAACTTGAAACGTAGAATCATAGAATGCTGCAAGCCTACTGCTCCCAAACAAGTGCAGAACAGAGAAAATGTTTGTTCTCTCTGAAAAAAAAGTCAGAAAAGATGAACGGCCAATCATTCACAAAATTCAGTAATTCAGAGAAGCACCTGAGAAGAGCAGAATACTTAAAATACTGCGGTCTCTAACCAGTTCTTAGTTCACACTGCTAACGCTCGTATTCTGTTAGCCTCCCTGCCATCCATCATGCCGTTCCTTCTACCCACGTCCCAGCACGCAGTCCCATCTTCGGGCTGAAAATGAGAGTAGCTCACCTAAATCTGCAAAGCTTTACTTGCCAAGTCCACAGCACGCTGTCTAAATAGAGCGAATTATGACAGCGCATCACTTCGATATACTACAACCTCCATCCCCGAGTAATCCATCTCTGTACAGGCATTAAAGTATCCGCTTTAAAATGCCAGGCCAGACCTAACGTGAGGGAACGCGTCTTGGCTGAGACAACTGCACCCTAAATAAAAGTCTACCAGCAGTGGAAAGAAAACACGACTGCATTTCAGAGAGGATTCCACCACAATTTGAACAGAATCCTCTGTTCAAAGCAGAGGTTCAGACAAAACAAAATAAAACCAAACAAAACAAACACAGAGTTTGAGGGGAACAGGCATTATGAATGTAACCGCGTGGGGAGGGCAGGGTCAGATTTCTTAATTATTGTTATCGCTGGGTCTTTTTTCCTACATAGGACCATGGCGGCAGCATGTACGCAAGCCTTTGCGGAGCTTGGGGCGGGGGAGAGGGCTTCACTTTCCTTCAACTTGAGTATGAAAACATGAAAAGGAATGACTCACCTCAACTTCTGAAGCTCCTTCTGGGCTTGTTCTATCATATGAACCAGATGTCTAACAGCAGAATGCAAGCAAAGCATTAGGAAAACAGACAATTGCTAGATCAGACCCATTTAACCTGCAATTTAACTCTGAAGAGTTAAGGACACAACAAGCCACTTCAATGCAAACACCAGACAACCTGTTCTCAGCGCAGTCTGTGCTCTTCACTCCTGAAGGGAATAACACAACGCCGCAACACTGCAATTGTGGCAGTTTTAAGACGTAAACCTTCAATAATCGCTGTGGCAAGGGCTGGCCGTCAGACAGCATCATAAAATCATAACCTTCAAGCATTTACCTTCAAGCTTGTTACCGTATGCCTGTGCTATTCCGACTAGCACGCTACTGTACCATCTCCCTACCTTATCACCCGCCTTCTCATTTTAATTCTAAAATTCCCTGTAACCGATTTTTATTATTGTTTCCCTCGTATAACACTGTCAGAGCACAAACAGTTCTTTTGCTTCCTGACGTACGTGTGAGCTAACAGATTGTCTACCCGCCTCCCTTCTCCTAAGCTAAGCAACCCTCTGCCTTCTCTCCAAGGCAAGCGTCGCATTCCTTTTGTCTACACCTTTATCTAAGGCTAAGCTGACCCTTCTCGAAAGTGGACGTTAACATTCCCCGCCTGAAATAGCCCTGGTGCTTCCTGCAGCCATCCCACCTACAACTTTTTTTGGCTTTTGCAACAGCTTTACTGATAACGGCTCTGGGCTGAGCAGGATCGGCAGTAAGCCGTCTTTATTTCCACTACTGAATGATCATTTAGCGGACTGTCATTAGTCCCTTCAGTTATCCTCAGTTAAAGCCTGCTATCACCAACCGCAAACAATAACTCACAAAATTCAAGACTGGGATGTACTGAAGCACGGGCTATTTCTTGGCCACGGAGATGGCTCCTCTTTCGGATCAGCCTCCTTTTCTTCCCCTTTCCCAAAGGGGCTCAGCTATTCCTGGATATGCTCTAAAGATCCCCGCTGGACTCACGCAGGAAAACGTGCGCAACACACAGAAGCTGAAGCCAGAACCTCGGCTCGGGTCAGCAAAGCAGAGGAAGGCCTTACTCGTTGTACCCCTTCCAGGCGTTACAGCCGTGCTGCGACATCAGCTCCAGGTTCTCGATGCGGACCGCCTGGTGCTCCAGCTGCGCCATGGAGTTGTTCACGCACTCCTGCCACGCCGTGATGTCGTTCTTCTGGCCGGAGGAGGGGGCCGGCAGCTCGTACCTAGAATCGCGGAATCGTTTCGGTTGGAAAAGGCCTTTAAGATCACCGAGCCCAACCGTCAAACAGAACCCACCGCCTGCCCCGGGGGAAGGCCCGGGCCGCCTCAGCGCTTCCCCGAGGCCGCGGCGGGCAGTGCGGCCTGCGCTCACCTCTTCATGCTGAGCAGCTCCAGCGGCTGCCGGGCCGCCAGGCGCTCGAACTCGTTCCGCATGATCTCGGTCTGCGGGGAAGGCAGCGGTCAGGCGGCG